GAGGAGTTTGGGGTCTGTAGGGATGGGGCAGGGCCGTGCCAGTGTCACACTGAGATGATTTTGGGGAATGGAGGAGTTTGGGGTCTGTAGGGATGGGGCGGGGCCGTGCCAGTGTCACACTGAGATGATTTTGGGGAATGGAGGAGTTTGGGTCTGTAGGGATGGGGCGGGGCCGCGCTGCTGTCACACTGAGATGATTTTGGGGAACGGAGGAGTTTGGGGTCTGTAGGGATGGAATGGGGTCATTCCAGTGTGGTGCTGAGCAGATCCCTGTGGGGTGAAGGAGTTTGGGATCATTCCAACATTGTGCTGAGCAGATCCCAGGGGGTTGAAGGTCTTTGGGGTCATACTGGTGTGGTGCTGAGCAGATCCCTGTGGGGTGAAGGACTTTGGGATTATGCTGTGCTGAGCAGATCTCTACAGGGTGGAGTTTGGGATCATTCCCGTGTGTGTTGAGCAGATCCCTGTGGGGTGAAGGACTTTGGGATCGTGCTGGTGTTGCATTGAGCAGATTCCTTGGGGTTGAAGGTCTTTAGGGTCATGCTGGTGTGGTGCTCAGAAGATCCCTGTGGGGTGAAAGAGTTTGGGATTGTTCCAGTGTGTACTGAGCAGATCCCTGTGGGATGAAGGACTTTGGGATCGTTACAGTGTTGTGCTGAGCAGTTCCCAGGGGTAGAAATAGTTTAGGGTTGTGCTGAGCAGACTCGTGTGGGGTGAAGGACTGTTGTGCTGGTGTTGCATTGAGCACACTTCTGTGGGATGAAGGCCTTYGGGGCTGCCACAGCTCTTGGTTTTGGGGGCACTGTGGGATCCCGAGGCACCTGCTGGATTGGAATCCCCATTCCCCCTGGTTTTGCGGGATCCCTGTTTCCCCCTGCTGGATTTGGATCCCCATTTCCTCTGGCTCTGCGGGATCCTGAAGCCCCTGCCAGACCGGGATCCCTGTTTCTCCCTGTTGGATTGGGATCCCAGGCCCCTGCTGGATCAGGATCTCCAATTCCCCCTGCTGGATTGGGATCCCCATTCCCATGGCTCTGCAGGATTCCCATTCCCTCTTCTGTAGCACTATCCCCGTTGCCCCGCAATGCATGTTTCCCTTTTCCCCTGCCATCCAGGATCCCCGTTTCCCCTGCTGTACTGGGATCCCTGTTTCCCCTGGCTCTGTGGGATCCCCATTCCCCCTGCCATACCGGGATCCCGTTGCCCCACAGCGCGTGTTCCCCGTTTCCCCTGGCTCTGTGGGATTCCCATACCCCTGGCTCTGTGGGATCCCCCTTTTCCCCCATCCACACTGTGATCCCGTTGCCCCGCAGCGCATGTTCCCCATTTCCCCTGCTGTACTGGGATCCCCCTTTTCCCCTGCCATACTGGAATCCTGTTGCCTGCAGTGCGTGTTCCCCGTTCCCCCTCCACACTGGGATCTCGTTGCCCCGCAGTGCATGTTCCCCATTTCCCCCGGCTCTGTGGGATCCCCCTTTTCCCCCATCCACACTGGGATCCCATTGCCCACAGCGCATGTTCCCTGTTCCCCAGCTCTGTGGGATCCCTCTTTTCCCATCCACACCATGATCCCATTGCCCTGCAGCACGTGTTCCCTATTTCCCCTGGCTCTGTGGGATCCCCCTTTTCCCCCATCCACACCAGGATCCCGTTGCCCCGCAGCACGTGATCCCCATTTCCTCCAGCTCTGTGGGATCCCCCTTTTCCCCCATCCATACCAGGATCCGTTTCCCCTGGCTCTGTGGGATCTCTGTTCCCTATCCACACCGTGATCCCGTTGCCCCACAGTGCATGTTCTCTTTTTCCCCATCCATACTGGGATCCCATTTCCCCCGGCTCTGTGGGATCCCCCATGCCCCATCCACACCAGGATCCCATTGCCCCTGGCTCTGTGGGATCCCCCTTTTCCCCCATCCACACTGGGATCCCGTTGTCCCACAGTGCATGTTCCCCTGTTCCCCCATCCACACTGTGATCCCATTACCCCGCAGCGCGTGTTCCCCTTTTCCCCCATCCACTCTGGGATCCCGTTGCCCGCAGCGCGTGTTCCCCGTTCCCCTGGCTCTGTGGGATCCCCCTTTTCCCCCATCCACACCGTGATCCCATTGCCCGCAGCGCGTGTTCCCCTTTTTCCCATCCATACCGGGATCCCGTTTCCCCTGGCTCTGTGGGATCCCCCATACCCCATGCACACCATGATCCCGTTACCCCGCAGCGTGTGTTCCCCTACATCTCGGCCATGGTGAACAACGGCTCGCTGACGTACGACCACGACCGCGACGGGCGCCCCACGGAGCTGGGCGGCTGCACGGCCCTGGTGCGCAACCTCAACCACGACACCTTCCTGGTCATCCGCTACGTCAAGAGGAGGCTCACGGTGAGTTCCGCCCGTTCCACGGGGTGTTCTCCGTCCCGAGGGTCCCCGTGGGGCTCAGGGAGCCGCTGCCCCGGCAGGTGCTGATCGACATCGACGGCAAACACGAGTGGAGGGACTGCATCGACGTGCCGGGTGTGCGCCTGCCCCGTGGCTACTACTTTGGGACATCATCTGTCACCGGGGACCTGTCAGGTATGGCTTTGGGGGTTCCTGGGGGGTTCCTGGGTGGAGTTGAGGCACTGTGGGTGCAGCTCAGACCCTGCAGGAGTGTTTGGGGTTCCATCAGGTACGGCTTTGGGGGTCTGGGGGGTTCCTGAGGGGCTGCGGGTGCAGTTCAGACCTTGCAGGAGCGTTTGGGGACCTGTCAGGTATGGCCCTGGGGAGTTCATGGGTGGAGCTGGGGGGCTGTGGGTGCAGTTCAGACCTTGCAGGAGCATTTGGGGACCTGTCAGGTATGGCCCTGGGGGGTTCATGGGTGGAGTTGGGGGGCTGTGGGTCCAGCTCGGACCTTGCAGGGAGTCAGATACAGTCTTGGGGTGTTCCTGGGTGGAGCTGGGGGGCTGTGGGTGCAGTTGGACCTTGCAGGAGCATTTGGGGAGCTGTCAGGTACGGCCCTGGGGGTTTGGGGGGTTCCTGAGTGGAGCTGGGAGGCTGCAGGCACGGCTCAGACCTTGCAGGAGCGTTGGGGACCTGTTAGGTATGGCCCCAGGGGGTTCCTGGTGGGTTCCAGGGTGGAGCTGGGGGGCTGCGGGTGCAGTTGCACCTTTTGGGGAGCTGTCAGGTACAGCCCCGGGGGTCCAGGGGAGTTCCTGGGGGTTCCTGGCTGGAGCTGGGGGACTGCAGGCATGGCTCAGACCTTGCAGGAGTGTTTGGGGTCCTGTCAGGTACAGCCTTGGGGTGTTCCCGGGTGGAGCTGGGGGACTGTGGGCGCAGCTCGGACCTTGCAGGAGCATTTGGGGATCTTGGGTGGGGTCTTGGAGCAACACCTGAGGGACCCCAAGATTGGTTTGGGCACTGAGGGTTTGTCCARGTGGTGCTTCCTGCTTTTCTTGGGCACACTGTGGATCCCGGGCTGTGGGAGGAGTAAAACCTTGGGGTGAGGGTGGAATAAAATCAGGATGAGCCTGGAATTAAATCTCATCCAGGATGAGAATGGAACAAAATCAGGATTAATGTGGAATAAAACCTTGGGATGAGCATGGAATAAAACTGGGATGAGCATGGAATAAAACCAGGATGAGCATGGAGTAAAATCAGGGTGAGCGTGAAATAAAGCTAGGATTAATGTGGAGTAAATCCAGGATGAACATGGAATAAAATCAGGATTAGCATGGAATTAAATCAGGATGAACATAGAAAAAATCAGGATTACCATGGAAGAAAACTTTAGAATGAGCACGGAATAAAATCAGAATGAGCATGGAATAAATCTGGAAATAAAGCCTTGGGATGAGCATGGAATAAAACCAGGATGAGCATGGAATAAAACCAGGATGAGCATGGAATAAAACCAGGATGAGCATGGAATAAAACCAGGATGAGCATGGAATAAAACCAGGATGAACACGGAATTAAACCAGGATGAACACAGAATTAAACCAGGATGAACACAGAATTAAATTAAATTAAGGAATAAAACCTGCCCTGGCTGTTCTGGGATCCTGGAATTCCCAGCCAGGAATTCCTGGGAATGGTTTCAGAGCCCAAACCCTTTGATTTCCCCACTGATTTCCCCTCGCCAGACACTGCCCCTCTCCCTCTTCCAGAGATTTCCACTCTGTTTGAGTTCTGCCCCTTAAAACCTCATTCCCAGTAGGTTTAAATCCATTTTTCTTTATGTTTCAAATGTTTCCAATCATTCCCAGGTTTTTAAATCTCCTTTCTTCCCAGATCCCTGCYCASCCCYWCCTGAGAGCTCATCCATTTGKGTTTTCAAGTGCATTTAAATCRSATCMTCTCCCRATTTGSGCTGATTTTGGGTTTTTAAGCAACTTTAAAAAATCTTTTTGGAAATCAAACCTTTTTGGGAACATCCCAGACCAAGGTTTTGGTGGATTTTGCAGACAACCACGACATCATCTCGCTGAAGCTGTACCAGCTGACGGTGGAGCGGACGCCGGAGGAGGAGAAGCGGGACAGGGAGGTGTTCCTGCCCGTGGTGGACAACCTGAAACTGCCCGGGAGTGAGTGGGGTGGGAAGGGGGAGTGGAGGGGATTTGGGGGGTTTTGGGGCTGGAAAGATGAACCTGGGTTTTGGGGGTTTTGGGCAGTCTGGGGTGATGGGATTGGGATGGGGGGAGAGGTGGGTTGTGTCCCATTCCAAAATCATGAAATTCCAAAATCCTACTGTTCCAAAACCCTGAAATCCCACAATCTGATCCCAAAATCTTGAAATCGCAAAATCCTACCATCCAAAAATCCTGAAATCCCATCCCAAAATCCCACAATCCCATCCCAAAATCCCAACATGAGGGTGCATCTGTCGTGCTCTGGCCAGTCTGGGATGGGTGGGATTGGGATGGGGGAGAGAGATGGGTCATGTCCCATCCCAAAATCCCACAAATCCCATCCCAAAATCCCACAATCCCATGCCAAAATCCCACCATGAAGGTCTGTTTGTCACTCTCTGGTCAGTTTGGGATGGGTGGGATTTGGATGGGAGAGAGAGATGGATCTTATCCCATTCCAAAATCCCACAAATCACATCCCAAAATCCAGAAATCCCATGCTAAAATCACAAAATCCCGAAATCCCATCCCAGATGGACAGATGAGGGTCCATCTGTCATGCTCTGGCCAGTCTGGGATGGGTGGGATTGGGATGGGGTAGAGAGATGGATCATGTCCCATCCCAAAATCCTACCACCCTAAAATCCTGAAATACCAAAATCCCATCCCAAAATCCCATCCCAAAACCCCACAAATCCCATCCCAAAATCCCACAAATTCCATCCTGAAATCTCAAAATCCCAATATCCCAAAATCCCATCATGAGGTCTCGGGTGTAG